CATCTCCTAAAATGAGAAGATGTCATTCATAGAATAAAACAATTTTTTTCTATTTTCAATATGTTAAAATAGGGGAAAATAAAGAGGAATGTTTAAAAGTAAACTTGTATATTAGGTATTTCAGTTTTGGAGGACACGGGTTACGACTGTTAGAATTGATTGCGATTGCAAAATGATAGTCAAATTTATGATGGTCTTTCCTGTCGTTAGGGATAGGTAAAACATGTATAATGGTAATCAATCGACTAAAAGTAACTTCGATTCTTTTTCCAATAAAGAGGATGTTGGATTGCGGGGAAGGATTCGGGAAAAACAGAATGAAAATTTCATTTGTTTTCCTGCAATTACTATCCATGCATTATTATGGATTTCTATACGTGCGTTTTTTTTGTAACGACCTGGGTCTTTGTACTTAAGTCATTAGCTTATGTACTATTCGCTTTGGGTGGGCCTTGCGCCCACTTGCCCCTCACGGCTTTCTTTTGCGTCCGCCAGGATTCGAACTTATAACATTTTCCTTAATTAAGACTTAAGTTGAATCCTGGTACCAACTGGGCAAGCTTACATACTGTCCGCTTTGGGTGGGCGTTTCCTAAGAGTTGAACTCAAAACATTTTCCTTAAGTAAGACTTAAGTTGAATTGCGCATTTTTTTTTGTAACGACCCAAGTCTCTGTACCCAAACCGTTAGTTTACGTACTGTCCGCTTTGGGTAGGCCTTACTTAAGTCTTATTTAAAGGAAAAGTTATGAGTTCGAATCCTGAGGAATGCGACAGAAAGTTATGAGGGGTAAGTGGGTGCAAGGCCCACCCAAAGCGGACGTAAGCTAACGGCTTGGATACAGAGACCCGGGTCGTTACAGTTCGTGTATGTTATTGCAGTATTGTCAAAATTATGGACAAAGTGTAAAATGAGCATGTTGATGTTATAACATAATCTGATGACGAGAACATCACGGACTCTATTAACATAGTGGAAGGTGTAACCTCAGTAGAAGATAGAGTGATTGTGGGTAGGTATAGAGTTTAAGGATGTTACGAAAATGTTTGACTTCTACAAAAATATGATTATATCGTCGATTTTCTAGTGAAAAAAGAAATTCAGAAAAGGGGGATGGTGTAGAGATGAGATATGTTACGTTGACTTGTAGCCGTGAAGGTCGAAGAATTAGTAATACCAGCGGTTCTTTGAAGCCGCAACCAACAATTCAGATGGGTTGTAAAGTAAGGATATCAGCATCTTCAAATATATATGGAGTCTAGAGGATTAACACGGTCCACCTCGAGCATAATCACAAAACTAGTCCTTCGAAGTCCAAGTTATATCGATGCAATCAGGAATTGAGTGTACATGTGAAATGCAAACTTTAAGTTAATGATTTAGTGGGAATTCCATTGCATAAAAGCTACAATTTGTAGTTGTAGAATTAGGCGGTTATGAGAAAATGAGTTGCGTAGAAAAAGATTGTCAGAATTATATTGAACAAGTGAGGCGATTAAGATTTGAAGAGGGAGATGGCGTTGCCATACAATCATACTTTGCAAAAATGCAAGCATAGTGCTTTTACTTCAGCTTAGATTTAGATGACGAGTCATAGTTAAAAAATGTATTTTGGGCAGATAATCGTTGTAGGAAAGCATATAAGGAGTTTTGCGACATCATTTCATTTGATATGACTTACCTCACAAACAAGTTTGATATGCCTTTCATCCTATTTGTTGGCTTCAATCATCACGGACAATCAACAATGCTTGGTTGTAGGTTGGTATTGAACGAAGACACAAATACTTTTGCGTGGTTGTTCAGTACATGGCTTCAGTGTATGTATAGCATTGCTCCTTGAGGAATTTTTACTGACCAAAACATGGCCATGCAAAATGCAATTTAGATTGTTTTTTCCAACATAAAGTATAGATGGTGCTTGTGGCATATCTTGAAAATATTGCCTGAAAAATGGATAAGTCTGGAATATTTGGTACTATATACCGATTGGTTTATGATTCGCAATTGCGTATGAATTTGAAGAAAGAGGGGCTGCACTGATTGATACATACCATTTGCATGATAACGATTGGTTGTCTGGACTTTTTGAGAATGAGGGTTGTTGGGTGCATTCGAAGATAACCTTCAAGCATTTTGTCGAACGCACACTGCGGAATAAGGTTGAGAAGGAATTTCAAGCCGACTTCAAGTTATTTTCACAGATGGTCCTATATGTAACACAATATGAAATGGAGCAACAGTTGCAATTAGTTTATACCATTCCTAAATTCAGGAAATCTCAGAATAAGTTCACGAGAAAGGTGTATTGCAACCTCATACTACTTTAGAGGGGCCTTCCGAGATGACTTACGAAGTATGGGAGGATGTTATGTATGAGGGCTGAAGAAAGAAAAAAAACATTCTTTGTCTCTTTTTGAGAGAGATAATTGCAAAGTTGTATACAGCTGCCATTTGTTCGGATTTCGGGAAATAGTTTGTCGTCATGTGATCGCAGTCTTAATTCGCAACGATGTCACCTTACTTCCAGAAAAGTATATACTACAGAGGTGGAGGAGAGATGTTAGTAGAGCACATGCAAGGGTGTCAGTGAACTACGACGGTTTGGTGAAAATTGAAATATGATGACATGTGTCGCGCATTCGCATAGGTTGCAGACCTTGCTACCAATGATGAAGGGCGAGCACGTACGATTATGGACTGGATAAAAGTACAATGTGAAGAACTGGTGACGTCAAGAAGGTCGAGTATTGGAAGCAATGCCCTCACGCATCACACAAGTCAGGCGGTTCAACAATGTACTACCTTGCAAAATAATACAAGGGTGAACGTGCGGGATCCACAATTGTCGAACAGAAAGGGGACGCCCAAGAAACAGCGTAGAAAAGGCCAGTTGGAATCGAGTTCAACCATAGCGAAGGTACATTTAAGTAAAAAACTATAGATAGCAATGGACTATTATATACAAATACTGATTATGTTAGGGGGCACATGCAGGGAATTTCAGCATCAACAAAAGGAAAAGTGCGAGGCGTAATGATGTGCAAGATAATGGAGTCGACGTTTAGCATGCGTCACAACAACATTACTCGATGCATACACCAATGTCATTTTTTCAGTACTCCATACCAACACTATTCCCATTCCCACAGTATTCATCCGCTACATTGTTCACCTGCTAGGCGTCTTACAATCTTTAAGTTTTATTTCGCCATCGTCGTCAAATGTTATTTATACTTCAAAAGATATGAGCATGATTTGACATTATAAATCAATTATTCATTATTGTTTAATCATGAATGTGGTTATAATTTTTAATACTATTTCATTGTAATTGCTAATATAGTCTTCAACTATTTCACTTTCGATAGGAGGTGCGTCACTTGAGCAAGCAGGCACACGGGGAAAAGATTCGACAACAGCCAACTACGATTTCAATACCTGACAACATGTGTACAACAGCAGCTTCATCAAGATAAGATACGCGGATGAGTCCAATTATATGATGTTCATAATGACTGTAATAAGTAACCAACTGTGCTAGTCAGTTTATGTAAATGATTTGAAAATGGAGATGTGATCGCTTACGGTGGACTATCTGATTTCGTGAGAGTTTACCTTTGACCTTCTTGTGTATACATGTACAGCTATTAAGTTTCTACAAGTTGACATAAAAAGCAAGTTCTAAAGGAAGATAGGTATCATGTGGTATGTAGCATATAAGTTTCCTGATGCAAAGGATAGAAAGCTATATGTTCACTGACTTCTTTTGGTAAGTATGTATCAGTATTTCCAGTTGTAGCTATTTGGTGATTCATTTTCTGTAGATTATTTGCTTTCTCGGCCTGTATGCTGTGCGATGTGACTATGGTTTGCTTCCACTTTGATGCTCAAGACTAGTTTTCACCTTTCGTAGATCGGATAGGTCATCCATTTTCTGTAGATTATTAATTGGTTTCTATGTTTTGGAAGTGTAATATTGACTTCTCTTTTTGGTCTTATAATTGCTTATCCATTTAGGGAGACACTGAACATGTTGTGCATTGGCCATGTAAACTGGAAGTAGTTATTCCACATTTTCTCTTAATTTCATGCAACTGAACCAAAGAAAGGCCAAAGAATGTCCCAATGAAAAGTAATCACGATAAAATAATAAAGAAACTGCCTTTAATCTATCTTGCAAAATGGATGTAGAAAGCACAAATAGATAAACTAAAAGGTAGATTTTCTCTAGATTATACAAAGAGGATAGCACTTTCAGACTAATCTCATAAATCAATGTACTTTACAAATATAGTTTACATATCTTCGTTGAAAATAATTTGACCTTATACAAAAGATTATGTAATAGCCACTAGATTTATGAATAGCTACTAATCAGGTCGACCACTTTCCTTCTAAATTCACTTCAACGATTCCTTGCTAATTCACGTTCACCGTAATATGTACATCTTCTTCAGCAGAAATGCAAACTTGAGATCGAAAAATGTGTGATATTTGTTCACAAGTTTCGTTCGTCGCAAAGTTAACTGAAGAAGCCCTAGCTCTAGATAATTGGCTGCTTGATTCTTCTTTCACAAGCCAATCCCAAAATCACAGTTCTTATTGCAATAAAGAAATAATCGTCCTTTATTTTTAGCCTCCTTCTCCACCATGAAACACTTCTCAAATCCGTGCTCGCAATTTGGGCATCGGTGTTTTCGTGGACAGTCGGCAAAGAAATGTCCTTTAGCTCTACAACTATGATAGATTTTGTAATTCCTACCGCCCACTCTACGATGCAAAAAAATCATAGAGAATATTTCAAACCAAGACATAAACACAAAATTTAACAAAAACAGATACTTCTAATATAACAAACCAAGACATGAACACATAATTTAACAAAAAAAACATACTTCTAATTTAAGAAACCAATACATAAGCACATAATTTAACAAATATAGTATAATCTAATTTAACAAAAACACATAAAAATAATCAAACCAAGAAAACCCATATTAACCTATACTAAATCTAAGTTAAGCTATATTGTTAGCTTTTTATTGGAGTTAAAAAAACTTCTGCAATTCGGATCTCTCACGGCAGCCTCAGTAAACAAATGGACATAGAACCTTATTTCAAGGGCAGTATTTGAATATTTCACTTTATATAGAAGAAATCCACCAAATCTACCAAAATGAACTCTACTGAACTACTCCAACTCTGGTTTGTGCTCTGTTTATTTCCTAAAAATACTTTTGGAAATATCAAATTTCTTAGATGGTAAGGCCATGAGCACATATTTCCCCAAATCTTCAAATATCTTATAATTTAAGCTAGTAACAAATCAGCAAAACTATACAGAAATTGAGCTTTTTGAGTTATTTTATTAACACCAAGGATATTGATAATGACTTTCTACACACACTGGTGGAAGTTGTGCCAGTGTGCCCCCGATTGAGGTGACGGCCAGGCAGTGAGGAGAGGTTTTTTCCCTTTTAAGATTTGGAATGGGTTTAGGTGGGAAGTGCGTTATATGGGGAAAATTGATGTGATCGAAGTGTGGCCGAAAATGTTAACAACTGATGGTGGAAGTGCCGCCCTCCGACTAAGGTGATGGCGGGCTTGGAGGGAAGGGTTTTCTCCTTATTCAGTGTCGAAATGGGTAGGGAAAATCAATAATGGTTCTTCCTTCTCAGAGCCTCCTTTTCATGTGTTAACTTTTTTTAAAATTTTATGCCCAATTTTTTTTACAATCTCGCTATTCGTACATAAGAGTACAGGGTTACTTGACAGAATGACATGGCAATTTTGAAAAGAAAAAAGGAAACAAAATGGGGGGATTACTTTCTGGTCCAAATCCAACATTTTATTTTATCCCCAAATTGGATGAACCCTAGCGACAAAAAATTTCTTCTCTCCACCCCAACGTCATCCTTCTTCTCCAAATCTGTCAGACAATGAAACGACCCCAACAGTATACATCTGATCTAGTTATTTGGGTATTCATTTCGCAGCCAGTCGATCGGTCTTTTGTCATTGGCAACCGCGAGCACCATCACTTGAAGCGGAATCTATAGCAAACTTGTTGGTGAGTATGATTAAGAAATGGTATGAAGTTAGAACCTTTGATATCTAAGATTAAAAAATATTTGGTTTTTAAGTATTTATTTTATCAACGAAATTTTCGAAGTTAGTTTTGTCGAAGAGTACGAAATAGTTTCTTATTTTTAACTTGGACTTGTAAAAAATTAATTTTGAACTTATTTACTTAAAAGTGAACTAATTTATATGGGTGCGTCAATTTCCTGTTTTTTATACGAGATAAATTATTTTGAGTTTCTCAAGTAATGTGAGTAAAGTTTATTCATAAATTGATTAGGATTGAGTAGTGGTGAGTTCATTTGCCAACGTTATAGGAATCGGATTGAATGTTTGACAAGTAAAATAGGAAATAGATTTGAGTAGTCAAGTTACAAGTTAACAATGACAGTGGTTAAGGATGTCCATGAGCGAAGGTCAGTGGTTGCTGGTTGTTTCTAGTATTAGTTGTTTTATTTGAAATGGTTGGTGGTTGTTTCTAGTATTAGTTGTTTTATTTGAAATTTGATAATTATTTGGAGTGATACAATCAAGTGCAAGGCTACTGTTCTTTACTTGCTTTCTTGTATATATGTATCTATTACGGAGTAGTTGTTAATTTCCATTTCACTTGCTCAAACATTATGTTATCAAAATTTTGCAAACATTCAATTGAATTATTTATTATGCCATGTTGATATTCTGCCTACATGGTTGAATTGTAGCTTACTATGGCCGGAAAAAATCATGGAATATGTCATAGTTGTAGATGCTACGGTCACTTCTTTGCGGAGTGCCCAAATAAACGTCCATGCCCGTGGTGTAAACATGCAATTGTGAAGTGTTTTCAAGTTGAGAAGGATAGTAAGAAGAAAGGTAAATTGTTCAATTGTTGCACTGCAAACTGCGGATTAGGAGTGGGTTAAAGAGGGTGAAACGAGCGGTGAATCAAGTGTCATTGGCATTACCTCCACTAAACTTGTGGTGCCTGAATTAGTTCAAGATGTCTCATGTTCAAAACCATCCGTCGGCTAACTTATGAAAAAGATGTGGAGATTTCCGTAAATGTGACAATACACAAAGGACAAGCGACTGTGGAAGAGGATAAGAAATGAACGTGGTGGGTCTAAGTTGTAGTTGTTGATGTAATAAAATTGCTCTTTAACTTTGGCGGAGACATCATTTCGATGCCTACTTTGTGGTTAACGTAGTGTGAAATTTGTGTACTGCTATTTAACTGATATGGGGGCTTCATTTTGATGCCTACTATGTGGTTAATGTAATGTGAAATCTGTGTAGTAATGTTATGGAGTTTTTGAATTGCGGAGCCTACAATTTGGACATTTTGAAGCCTACAACTATTCACCGGAATGTGTGCAATTGTTTATTCTAGGTTCTGTTATATGTTAGAATGAAACTTTACCCTCTCATCAAATTAGACAGAATTAATAAGTTTTGAGTTCAGACAATTTACCTCTTAATTACCAGAGAATGATCAGTCTCTGAATATGATCATCTGCTATGAAGATATCATATAAATATGTTAATTGAAAATTTGAAATGCTTGTTAATACTTAATACCATTGCATGGTTTGCACCCGTTAAAAAGTCTGATTCATTTCGTAATATATCTTTGAACTTCTTAATTTTCTATACATTACTTCAAATATTATATGGAAGTAGGAGATGGAGAGAAGCCAGTCCTGTGTGGATGCCTTGCAAGAGAAAGATGCAAAGAATGAATTTGGTGTCCTCTGGCATAGAGTTAAAACTGCTGCAACGTTATTGACACACTTGAAATCGAAAGCAAGAATCATGGCTGAACTTGTTTCATATCCACCTGCTTCGACTACTGCAACATTGTAACTTTTGTGCAATGAAATTCCTACAATATCATTTACTTGAAGCCGCCGTTTAACTTGTGCACTTAACTCCCGATTGCATCGATACAACCTCGACTTGGTTGAACTTGTTTTATGATTGTGTTCAAGATTCACTGTGTTAATTCCCCAAATTCCATAATCGTGTGCTGATGTTGTCAGTCTGGCTAGACAACCTGTCTGAATAGTTTCTTGCAACTTCAAACTACCGATTTTAGTACTACTTTTCCCTTCACGACTACACATCCACGTAAGATATCTCATCACTCCATCATCATCCTTTTTCGAATTTCATTTTCTAACTGGAAAACCTATGGCGTACGCATATCTTTTGTAAAAATCAAATAATTCAACATTGTCTTTGAACTTCATACCCACTTGAGGTACAACTACACCATCTCCGCCTAAGTTTTCATCACCCAATAAGTTCATATCATCCTTCAAATTCTCATTATCGGATTCTACCAATATAATGTCATCCACATTTTGCAAACATTCTTTCCCTGTGACAAAAAAAACGAACTGCACTGTAAAACCAAAATTATAGAAATTGGTTTCCAATGCAAGATATTAAATAAAAATGAAAATAGAAAATTCAAAATCTATTTACTAGGCCACCATTTCTACAGCTAAAGATCTCAACTTAGACCCGATCCCAAATCCCACTTTGGAAAAAAAAAATCCTACCAAAGAAAACCCCCAATTTTAGGATATTGAAAAGAGACGGGATAATGAGGAGATTAAAATGACCAGCGGCTTTAAAACTAAGAGAATAACATTATAAAACGAGGTGAACAGTTTAAGCGAAAGATGGGATTGGTTTCTTAGCCCATTTCTTGCTGCATTTAACACAGAAGAGGGATTACACATTTTCTTGACAAGGATCCATTAACACATTACAATTTTTCCTAATCAGAAACCACAAAACCAAACCTTTGTCTATCTCCATCTTCGAGTGAATGAGTTGGGTCAGGTGGAAATCAGATTTCAGAACTAACAGCGACATCAACTTATGAAGTACTGGTCGGTCCATGTCTTTCTAGAGGTTGGACATTGGCGTCGGTCCAAGTCTTTCTGGAGTTTGAACGTTGGCGCCGAAGGATACGTGTTGGTAGACCGCGGTTGAATAATCTCCAAGTTTGGGGGAAAACGTAGCTTAGTGGTTAAAGAAATGGTGCCTCGGTTCGTTGGTCGATCGTGACTCAAAGAGCTCAAGATTTGGGCAAAAATGCAGCTTAAGGGTGGACCAAAATTTTGGGGGAAATAAATGGCGGAAAATAAATGGCGCCTTGAAGAAAGAATGGTTTACAGTGAAGTTGGTGCTTGTCTGAAAATGAAAAGGGGCATCCATTTTTTTAGTATTTTTTGTCCATCACGTGCTGGCACTTTGATTTTTTTTTTTCCATTTTTAAAATCATGCCAACTCATTCTGTTAGGTAGAGTGTAAGCCAATAGTGTACAAATAACAATTTTGTTTTTTTTTTTATTTGTTTCTTGCCATGTCAACAAATTTTAAATCCCTGTTAACACCCTGTTCCAATCTCGTGTTTGCCTAGCATTATTGCTAAAAGTAACCTTCTTTGTGATTTCTTTATTCTCCCTGCCCCTCCTACTATCTCTTGGTGCCGCAACAATAACATTAACAAGAAAAACAAGTTAAAATTTCTTATTTTATTTTATTCTATATAAGTAAAAGCACCCGTTTGGCCCTCATTAATTTTGATTATAATGTAGGGAATAATATTTTTTTTAAATGGATAGTTGTAAAAGAATGAAAAGCTTTAGGTTTACGTGTAATATTATCTTTATTGAAAATTGTGGGATTGAAAATAAGACAGAGAAAAATTTAATTTAATTTGATGAGATGTAATGGTGGCCAAACGGGTGCTAAACCATTAATACTGCCTATCTAACATGCCCTAAAAGGATTGTTTGTCATTTGCTTACTGGTGTTGGGATCTTCATGGTAGCTAAGCTGTAATTATTATGAAAATTGTAAACTTAATTATAGCCCTTGTTTGAGCTACATTATTTTAATAAGAATGTATTTTTGAATGGTATATTGATGAAAAATGTGTAGTTAAAAAATAAGGAAAATGTTTGGATTTACGTATAATATTATTTTATTGAAAAATATGTGGTTGAAATAATATCAAATTACTGTTTAAGAATATATTTTTTACAAGGAATGTGGCTCAAACAGGGCCATAATTATAATTGAAGTTCTAGAACAACACATGTAATTAAATGAAACTAATTGAATTTGGACTTTAATTAAAACTCGTACTTGAATTTTAATTAGAACTTTTATTTGAATGTGAAATTATTATTGTGCAATGATTATAACTATTCTATCTCTATAAATAGAGAATGGATGAAAACTAGACATCCTATGAGACTATACAACAATCATAATACATAGTCTTATAGTGTTCAAATTTAGAAAGAGACGACAATTATCTTCTTGTCCAGTTCAAGAATTACTTTTTTGATTTAATTAAAAAAAGATTTCCACCCATCGGTGTAATCTTGACTTTGGAGAATAGTATAAAAGACTTGGAGGTTTGAAGTATCGGTGTAGCCTTGACTTTGGTGATCCAAAAAATTGAAAAATTGGTTATCGAATTTAGATAAAAATTCGAATCCTTTATTCTTGATACAATGAACATTTAGACGATCTTGTTTATTGAATTATAGAAATTTTTTAATTTTTAGATAATTTCGCTTCCGCATTCCTATAATAATACATTATCTATAATGTAAAATGCCTCAATTGATGTAGTTGGAGGCTACATTTAAGCACAAGCAATGTGTCAAGCGGATTGAGTGCATAATTTCCAAATCTGAATATATTTGTGTTGGAAAAGATTTCTTTACTCATCCACCATAGAATGTCTTGAAAGCCTAAGAATACCTAACCAAGATGGAGGGTGAATTGGTTATGTAAAAGCTTTTTCAAAAATAATTGCAGTCTTAAACAGATAACAAATAAATTAATTGCATAGGTAAGATAGCACTAATAGGCAATTAATAAGTAAAAGGGAAAAGAATGCACAAATGATGTAATTGTGGAGGTTCAATCCAATCAACGATCTACGTCTTCCGTTACCAAGCTCTCCATCATGAGCAGGGCCTTTTTCACTATTGTTGATTGACTTATGGCACAATCCAATCCTTACAATGCTTCCAGTGACTTCCAACAAAGGAACACTGATCATTTTACAACATTAAAATTTTTGGGACTTCAATCAAACAAACAAAAAAATCAGAACTAAAAGCTTCTCTCTCTTAATAAATGATATGATCACAATTAAGTATTAGAAGAGCAATAGGCTAACACTTCAATAAATAACAATGGGTATAGCTCAAGTGTTAGTTGTTGAAAAACTTTAATGAGATAAAAGATTTTCACAAATTTGATCACTCAAAAAGTTTTTCAAAAAATAATATTTTGGTCTTTTAAAGATTGAAAACAAAGTAGTTGAGATCAACAAAAACCTCATTTAAATGATCAAAGAAGGTTGTTGCAAATGAAAAGAGAAGTGATATTTATAGCACTCAAATGGGCAAAAAATTTGTCCATTCGGACGTTCAGTTGGGAAAAAATGCCCCCGAACATTTTTCCTTCGTGTTGAATTTGAATAATATAGGTTCTTGAAAGACTTTCTCATTTATTTTGTAAATATTTAATTGTCGAAATACTGACCTTTTTAAAATTAATTTTTATGCAAATATTTTTTTTTTGTGATGTGAATTTGTTTTCGTGTATAAAAATTCTTTTGAGCTATAGTCGATGCTAGGAATTGAAGCGTTTTATCTTTAAATATGAACTCAAAGCATCTACATCTAATGTCTTGGAGTTTGATGATCGACTTTTTCTCCAAGGTGATTTTTGACGTGAAGGCTCGATTTCCGTCTTTAGGTTCGTCAATCGCCAATTTTATTTCCATATTGATCTTCGAGAACCAATTTCATTTGTCAATGTGCACATTTCTTGATCTTGATTTTCGTGGCTTCATTTTTGTCAATTTTGCTATAATCACTATCAATACTTGAATTCAATTTGTTACAAATAAAAGCAATTTGTTTGTGATAATCAAAACGAAAAGTTAAATATTTAGGTCAACATGTCTTTTAGCCTTCCAACATTCTTCAATTTAGATTGATTTTATAGTGATTTTAGTATAACTATTCTCCAAATAACTGAAAGGTCATTATGAGCTCAGGATAAAAAAAAATCGGTGGCCAAAGAATAAATGTGTTGTTCCAAAAGAATGAGATCTTGAACATCGGTGAGATAGTAAACAAAGAAGTAGTGAGTGCTCCCCTTTTTTCTTTTTGGACTTTGAAAATTCATGTTACTTGCTTCTATTGTGTAATTTTTGTAGCTCCGATCACCTCTCTTCTTGTAGTCTTCTCTTATTTGTAACGGATAATTGATTTTCAAATCTTCTTTAGGTAGCCATTTTAATGGCGAGAACAATGATCAAAATATTTTGTTTTCAAGGAAATTGTCATATCTTGGTCAGTGGCCACTTTTCCTTCATTTTTAATGACTGGCCTCTATATTTTGGTTGAAGAAACTACTCAAAAGATTATCCCTTCTAGTGACCTTTTGGATGTCGTGAGAATATAATGTATCATCCCAATAGACGATACCAATCTGTTGACCTCAAAATCTGACTAATCGAGTGGCCAACAGTATGTAACCTTACATATACGCTGGTACATATCATTAGGATGCGAAGGATTATTGATCGAAAAAATGAACGATGATCGTTTGTGTTTTGCTGATCAAATCAACGATCGGATAAAAGAGAGAGTGTGATTAGATAAAAGAGAGAGTGTGTGTGTAGGAGAGTTTTGATAATGATTTGCCTACGATAGAACACATTACCTTGAGAGAAATGGATTCACACACACACACAC